TAATTGGCCTTTCTCAAGATTGACCTACATTTGTACCTTCTTTACTCAAGGAAAAAAACATTGTTTAAGGTTCAACTTTAGATTCACGCTCACAACCTTTCCGTTACCAGAGCCCTAACCACAGCACTGCAACTTATGTATTTTTACTGCACTTGAGTTTGGTTGATGTTTTGAGTCCCATGTATGTTTCATTTTAATTCTTCTTGTTACAAAACTGACTTTTAGTGCACCTCTTTTTTGTACTTGTTTTATTGCTGAACTCTAGAGCCAATACCCTTGAGAATACTGCCTTGCACAAAGCAAGCTGAGACTCATTCATTATTGTAAAACAGCCAGCACATTGTAGGTCATGAAATGATTGTATCCTGGCTCGAGAGGCTTTTCTGGAAAATGACAGATTTTATTTTTGTGTATTTTTATTTTACAACAGTAACAGGGATCAGAGTTACTGAAGGTACATTTTGGACCTCCAAAATAGAACAGAAACTGTTCATTCAAATGCACATTTTGTTTTGCCAACATTCAAGTAGGGCTGGACTAATTTTTACTTGGGTCCTCATGATTACTCATGAGTAATGTGAGTATTCACATTAATACATGCAATCATATATATATTATGCCTTAAGACTTTCATGTAATAAACCATGTTCAGGTCTGCAATTTCTGTTCCAGGATTACACAAATTTTATCATGTATTTTGATTATATTTACATATTCTGAGATTTCCAATTTTTCAAACATTGACATTACTCTTTATTTTTCATAAGTAACACCATATTCACCGAGGCTACAGGCATTTACAAAAACTGGACTTATTTTATAGCCTGGGTTAAGTTCTTTTTTCTTCACAGGTATAAAGTTTTAAAAATGGTTTTCTTTAGTCTTGTCATAAATGTAGTTATTCTTCTGTTCTGAAAATCTTGGACTTCAACAGATGCATATATTTAACAATTTTAGTGGTTTTGCTTTGTCCTTTTTAAGATGTGTGGTAGAGTTTTTCTGACAAACTATTCTGCCTTCATTATGTTTTGCATACCCTTGTTTATTGTTTAAAACAATAGTGAATACTTTTTCTCTATATACCATTATAGGTACACAATCGGTTCTTGGATAAAATGTATGTTTTAATATTGATTTGAAGTGTTACTTAAGTGAATCATAGTGTATAGGCTATACTTGGTTGAACATTAAGTGTATATAATTCAACATTAAATGTTAATAACCTATTTTACATGTAAATGACAATTACCTGTTGAAAGCAACTAAAGCAAGAAAATGCTATAAAGCATTGTAGTTACAGTATGGTGGGCTCTGCAGAGAGGATAAAGGTGTACTGTCAAATGTAAATGTCTTCACATGAAATAAGATAAATCATTTTAAAATTAACTAAAATTATGAACTCTGAAACAAGAATGTTTATACAGTTGCTCTCCAAAATTAAGGAGCAAATGGTGTCCAGTAGTTATTTACTAGACCTATGGATGATGTACCTTGGAATACAAAATTTAACTACTTAAGACCTGTCAGAGGAAAGGAATTGAATTACATTGACAGTGACACTGCTAAGTAGCCTGTATGTACTATGAGCTACTAGGTGACATACTAATTACTCAGAAATAATAAAAAAATAGCTCAAATGTATACTAGATTTATCCAGTCTCTTATGTAATTAAATGCCAGGCCCACATATTCCAGCCACTGAATGAAAATAATAATTGCTTACACTTATATAGTGCTTTTCTGGGCACTCCACTCAAAGCACTTTACAGGTAATGGGGATCCCCTCCACCACCACCAATGTGCTGCATTCACCTGGATGATGCGATGGCAGCCATAGTGCGCCAGAACGCTCACCACACATCAGCTATCAGTGTGGAGGAGAGCAGCGTAATGAAGCCAATTCATAGATGGGGGTTATTAGGAGGCCATGATTGGTAAAGGCCAATGGGAAACTTGGCCAGGTAGGGGTTACACCCCTACTCTTTTCGAGAAACACCCTGGGATTTTTAATGACCACAGAGAGTCAGGACCTTGGTTTTACGTCTCATCTGAAGGATGGTGGCTGTTTACAGTATAGTGTCCCTGTCACTATACTGGGGCATTAGGACCCAAACAGACTGCAGGGTGAGTGTCCCCTGCTGGCCCCACTCACACCTCTTCCAATAGCAACTTTAGTTTTTCCCATGAGGTCTCTCATCCAGGTACTGACCAGGCATATTTGTTTGATTTTAAGAATTATTCAGAGTACTATTTTCCAGGTTTAAATAAGTAGTTAAATAACCAGGTAACCAGCTTTCACAATAACTGGCTTTAAAACAAGGTCATATTTATTCTGTAGAGAAGTCTTACTTGATCACTTCTTAATTGGGGAACTTAATAGCTTTGCCTGTGATGATGTTTTTTAGAATACCTTATTCTATGTGGAAAAGTGTCTTCTGTGCAGCTGATGAAGAAATACAGTGCCAGTGCATCCATGTTCATCAGTAGTGTAGTATAACATTTAAATAAGTAGTCATAGCAGACACTTTTATCCAAAGAAATTTAGACACCTGTGAATGAACAACTGCTGCTCACTCTCAGTGGGACTTTAAATTGTCGTCTTATCCCAGTGAGACAGCACACAGAGGCTCAGTAAAGACTGTGGGTGAGACAGAAAGTCACTTTCAGTGGGGTTCGAATTAGAAACTAAATAAACTCACCTTTGCATTGGCCAGTAGTACAGTGTGTAATATCATATTCTACATATGTATCTACAAACACCCATAAACCTGTTCCAACATGTAGCAGTGTTTTGATATCAGACTTGAACGGCATGCTCATGTAGATTTAAGTACATTGCTGGACACATGAAGAACAATAGTTCAGAAGCGGACATTTGGCACCAGGTATCCAAGAGTTAACGATAATAAATACCAGGGGGTTGTTGGTCAGGGTTGGTGCACTCAACATATAGCAACATTTGTAGCAGGCCCAATGTGATCACAGATACCTTAGGGAACATTTTAATCATCTTCTGATTTTCCCACCTTGGATTTTAATTTGATTTGCTTGCTCTGGTTATTTCAGGAATGGTTTTAGTCTTGTTAGTTTCCTCTACGTAAATTCATATTCCACACTGGGAAGCTGTTAAATGCATGTTTTAACTCTAAATCTAGAAACGATATAGTATTTTTTATACCAATTTTATGTACCACTTATGAGACTGGGCAGTGGGCCAGTTAATTGACTATAGCACTGACTGACTTCCTGACTTTGAACTGTAATTAACCTGTATTGCTAAAGTACAATTAAGTTTATGTACAGTTTTCGTTAAACAGCCTGGGATACCCAGAAAGGTGCAGTTTAATTTTTGACATTATTGGGATTTAATTACCATTTGCAATTTTCAGCAGTTTACCAGTAGCAGAACTTAACTCTTAAGGCGAGTAATTCATTTAATAAGGAGAGAATGTTTTTGAAATGCAAAGCTTCAATGAACTTTATAATGATGTTGCAGTAGTTACAATTCATGTGTCTTGTAAATATTTAAGAGCTTTCAGTGTGTAAATTGTTTTATAGGCTGATAAGTTGTGCTTCAGGCTTTTTTTTGTGTATTGAAGGTGATGCAATCCTGATATGTTACAACTGTAGAACTCAATGTTGGTGGAGTGTGGTTTTAACAAATGTTTCCATAAGATCAGGAAAATTGTAATATTCAAATGTGATAATGTGTAATGTTCATTTTAGATTGTTATATTTGCATAACATTTTATTGTAACATATATTCTGGATGAGATTAAAAGTAACATTTATAAGTACAATAATAAATGCCTTGCAGCTCTATATTAAGTCATATTAATTTTAACCAATGTGAATTCTTTGTAGTTACCTAAATAACTGGAGACCTTAACCCCATCCAGCCATCTCATCCATTTTCTAAACCACTTTATCCATATGGAGAGCCACCCCATTGTTAGTCCAGTGCAAGAGTGCAAAAGTGGCTTTTAATGTTGCTCTTAATTTGTTGTCTTTGAAATAATTCAGGTAGGTAGCTGCGTCAGCATGCGTAGGCTGCAAAGGAACAGGTAATAGGTTTATTCCGTGCTGAAAACAGAAGAAAGAAAATGCAACATTTTGGCTATGGAGCCTTCTTCGGGTGTCTTTAAAATAATACACAAATGTGTTTTGCTTTTTTTTTCCTTCCCTGCACACCCCTGGAAATCTATGTAAATTAATTTTCATGTATTTAAGCCTTTTAATTATGACAAAATAATGCAATGTTGAACATCCCAGATATACTGTACTTCATTCAGAAAAATATCACTGAGGTTGAAGCCAAAAGGTCTTCAACAGGAAGGAGTAAGAGACCTCTCACGTGACGCATGAGAGTAAAGGTGCTCACCTACATAACTCTCTAGCACAGGTTGAGCTCTGTGATAGGCTCAGGCTTGGTAACTAGTCCACTGCTAGAGAGCTGTCCCTTGTGGCCTATCAGATGTGCTGCTGTTGGTGAGGGGCATGCCTCTCTGAAGAAAGTAATAATCTTGTAGAAAAGAATATACCTCATGCACATAAAATGTTATATTATATTCTAATCACATTAGTCAGTGTCCTGAGGAACTGAACGGTGTATGGCAACAGCTTATTGTAATGGTGGGAGGCAACCGAGTCCCAAGCCTCACGCTGCCCACACCATTCTGAAACCAGCTGAGCCACTCTGCACCAGCTGGTGTCACGGTGCATATAGACCAGTTACAGTCTGGCTTGTTAATGGCAAGCAGGTACTTTTAAATGGTTATTCATATAATGATACAATTCTATAAACATTTCAGCCAATATAAAAGTAATCCACTTTCTCAAAGACATATGGTGAAACTCATTTTTTCCTGACCAAGGTGCACCAGTCACCACTCACTTAATGCCTTCCAGAAATTTGTATTTAAATATTTAGTTCCAGTATGTCATTTGTGTTTGTAAAAAGACTGTCCTGTTTTTCTGAAAATGTGTCTTATCTTTTTCAGATATGCCTATATTTGGTCAGTGTCCTGCTCAAGATGATTTTTACTTGGTGATGTGTAACCATTGCAGTCAGGTTGTCAAGCCACAGGCATTTCAAGCACACTATGGTAAGTCAGTGTTTTTCAAGGAATTCACTCTTTATAATTAAGTTTTATGTATCTGTTGTCCACCAAAAAGAAACTATGGCAGTGTGGTGTATTGCTAAGGTATAATATACCAGCAGACATATCACCCTGCAACTCACGACTGGCAACCCACTGAAGCTAAGCAGGTGTGAGCCTGGATGGAAGACCTCCGGGGAAAAACTAAGGTTGCTGCTGGAAGAGGTGTTAGTGGGGTCCATGTGGTCCATGTGGGTCCTAATCCCCCAGTATAGTGATGGGGACACTATACTATAAACAGGCGCCGACTTTTGGATGAGACGTAAAACCGAGGTCCTGACTCTCTATGGTCATTACAATTCCCAGGGCGTTTCTAAAAAAGAGTAGGGGTGTAACCCCGGCATCCTGGCCAAAAAGAACTAAATAATAATTCCTAGAACACTGTACATTACTCAGTCACCTGAGTTTTCAAGTTGTTCATTTTGGTTCTCTAAAAGTCACTCAGAGGGTGAAAAGCCACTTCCTAAAGTCATCCATGAATGACATGTTCGTGAGGCCTTGCTCTTTACAGATGGATTCTTTGCTTGTCAAATAGTGTCCTGGCTGTTAACAGCTTCCCCCTCAAGGTGACAAGGACCCTGATCCACCTGTCTTGTTCTGACGTTGTTACTCTTGGCTATCCTAAATGTACCTCATTATTGACATTATGGATTGGAACATCCCAGATGGTCACTAATGATGTTTGGGACATCTGAAACACTTCACAATGGCTGACCAGGACATTCCTGCTTGAAGAATGCCCAACACATAATAATTGCATTATTGCTGTGAATGAGATGGAAAATCTTGTGAATTTAAATTTCCAAGACGTGTCTTTTGAACTTCTGCGAAAAAGAACAGTTTAGATGTGCAGTTCTGTGAATTTGGGATGTGTTGTGCTTGAACCCATGTGACATGTTCAGAGCTTTTGTTGCAGTATAGGTGTTTATATTGATGTTATTTTAAATGGTGTGGGGGACACAAATATCGTCCATTTAGTCATCAGTTTTGATTTTGTCATAATCTCAGTCAAGTTGACTAAAGTGTCTATTTGTCATAGTCACTTTCTAGTCACCCGATTTAAATTTAGTCTAGTCAACTTAACGCACCTGAAGATGGCTCCACAGCCGAAATTTTGCATATTTTTCTATTTTGGCACTGTTAATAATAAAAAAAAATTCAAAGTTTCAAAGCAAATATGAATTTATTCAGTAGAGGTTTCTTCCAATACTGAATCTGCAATAACTATAGGGGAATTACTGCACAAGTTACATAAGAATCTTACCACTGGACAGAACAAGAAATATATACATTCTTCAACTTACTGAGTTAATATTAATAAACCCTTTTGATGCCATTATTTTCAGTTGAAAAGCTACCATAGTATAAGAGTTGTCTAAGTGCTAAGATGTAGTGCTAGTATCATGCGGACAAAATGACAGCCCTGTGCTTGAAGTCGTCACAGCAATTCCACTCCACACTCATTCTTGAAGAAATGAGGAATGCCTGCACATGCTATAAGATGTTTGCTCTATGATATTTCTTGGTTAGCTAAACACCCAGTGACATAAACAAACCATATGTAATTAAAAAAACATTTTCCGACACGCGCATAGCGTTTGACCAGATCTCACATTGAGGAAGTAACATCTTATACATTAATCTCTAGCCAAGACAAAAAATGTTTGTTCTTGCTTAGTTTTGTAGTTAATTTGTAGTCAATGTCTTGACTAGCTACCATGTAAAAACAGATGTCTTAATAAGAAAGCATCTGAGTTCTGAAACTCATATGGCGCTTAAAATTTGTTGCAGTTCTTCAACTTATAATGTAGCCACGTTCTGATTATCTTCAGTAATGTTTTACAATAGCTTTACCTGGTTTGCTCAGCCTATAAAAAGTGCTGCCGGTCTCCAGATCTTTTTCTTGGCAGCTGAAAGCATGAAGTATCACAAGCATTTCTTGCATCTCCGCAGCTTTTCTTTTTAAGCAAGGTGTTCTAGTTTTACTATTTAATCTAATTAGCACAGCATGTGCATTTTATTGTTTATTTTGGTGCCACTCAATTAACACAATATGAATTTGTGACATGAGGCATGGAAAAGATTTCCTGGAAAAGAGGGACAGTTAGAAAACAAAAACAGAGAGAAAATGCCACACCCCAGTACTTGCAGTTCTCGCACATTAGTAACCCTGAGGCACCACGCAGTCCACATATGGCCACAGCCCTGGGATTATACCCATTACAGCAAGCCTGCTATTTATCAGATATAAAGTAAATAAGCAAATTGTGAACCTCGTGACAAAATTAATTTAAGTTTGAGCTGTAGTCAAAAAGTTATTTTCGTTTCGTCTAGCTTCATTCAAACAAAATTACGAAGCAATTTAGTCAACGTCATTGTCATTGTGGATTATTTCTGTGCGTGTTTCGTCTTCATTAACTAAAATGAAATGCAAGTCGTTGATCTGTGCCGGCACTTTTACATGAAGGAGTCTGGAATAAGCTGTTGAGCCTTGTGTCCCACCTGAAGAAGGCTTCACGGCCAAAGTTTGTTTTCTCTCTTCTCTTTTCAGCATGGAATAAACCTATTACTTGTTCCGTAGTATCAGTTAGCCACTAATAACCAAATGAGGTAGGTAAGGCCAAATAGCCTCCTGACATTTCTCAACTTTCTTAATTTTTAAAAATGTCATGTTTAAAGCACATCTTTAAAAAAAACATTAAACATCACAATGGTTACAAATTACAGAAGGTCATTTGGATCACGGAGTGATTTTTTCCAATTTCTGAAAGAGCCCCATAGGTGGTACTGTGAGAATTGGTTCACTCTAATAAGAAAACAAAATATTAAAAGCTTGGTATAGCAGATATTTCCCTAGATTAACTATGAATTTCAGTTATAAACTAAATACTTCCTGGGTCATGCAGATCAGGATTAGAATAGCTTCTAATGTTGCTCTTAATTTGTCGTCTTTGAAATAATTCAGGTGGGCAGCTGTGTCAGCATGCGTAGCCTGCAAAGTATAGGTTTACTCCATGCTGCATGGAGTAACATTTCGGCCGTGGAGCCTTCTTCAGGTGTGTCAGGTGCGAAAGACACCCTGTCTTTCTCACACCTGAAGAAGGATCCACGACCAAAACGTTGTGTTTTCTTTCATCTCTTTTCAGCATGGAGTAAACCTATTACTTGTTCTTATGAGAACTGAACAGTTTAGAGCCGCCACTCAGGTCTTTTTTTCTGCAAGAATTAAATAGCTCAAAATATATGTTCCTTGTATATGTAAAATTGGGGGCATTTTAGTACCCAGCTTTACTGGAGTCTAGTCTACTCTTTTTCTCCTCAGTACTAAGTCTACTTTCTGAAGACCAGGGTTCAGCGAATTAAAGAAAGAATTAAAGAATTAATTCTTTGGGATGTGGGAGGAAACTGTAGTACCTGATAGGAACTGACACAAGCAGGGAGACCATGCAAAATCCACACTTGTGCCCCAACCTGGAAGTGTACCCAGGAATTGTGTGAGTACCTAAAAAGTGCTTTGTAGAAGCTGTGAAAATTAATTTTAATTTTTATTTTGTCTGATCCCTTTATCCAAAGAGATTTAGTAGTTTGAATTATCTATCCCTAAAATTACCTATAGTTAGCTCTCCAAAACAATAACCAGGGACTCTTTTCTCAAATGCATGTATTCTTAATCATATTAATTAAATATTAAAAACAAATATTTTAGAGAGATTTTTGGAAATTACATATGGTACAAATCAAAGTTTTAACAATTAAAGGTTCTTTTCCTCTGTTGGAGAAGTTAAGCTGTATTCCCTCTACTGTGAATAGAAATGTAGAATAAACTTCAGCAACAGACCAGTGTTACCTGGATCGTCTCTTTCCACATGACAAGGGGCTGATTCCCATAGGATTCTCAGACAAGAAAGGCACCTTCATACAGTCAAGAGTACTGGATTCTTCAAGCTTCTGTTCACAGTTCTTTTCCGTAACCCCAGCTGCTGTTCTAGTGCTGAATGGAGCGATTTTGCTTCTTCCTCAGAGGTGTATGTGGAATGTGAACTTCAAGGACTTGACTAAATTGGAAATGTCAAAAAGTGTAAATTCAAAATCCAATTCAGTTTACGTTTATTAATATATTTCTTCAGTTATGCTAGAAATTTCAAAGCAAACATCTGAATTGATTTAAAAATTGTTTTCCTGATTATCTTGGGGAATAATGTCATACATATCAAGGCTAAATGAGTAGAAAAGAGCTTAGTTTTTAAAAGTGGTTTCTTGAAGAAATGCAAGCTGAAACATCTATCCATACATTTTCTGCCATTCAGGGTCACAGGGGAGTTGGGAGTCTATCTTGGCCAGCAACAGGCTCAAGGCAGGTTATAGCCAGGATCAGACGTGAGTCTATTGCAGGGCACGCATTAGCATAGACACGCACTCACTCATACCTAGGGCCAATTTTCCCAGAAAACAATTCTACCTGTATGGTTTTAGACTGGAAGGAAACTGGAGCACCCAGAGGAAAGCCATATACTGTAAACCTCACATTCAGGTGGGTAGCTGCACTAGCATGTGTAGGATGCAAAGGAACAAGTAATGGGTTTATTCCATGCTGAAAAGAGAAGAAAGACAACACGACATTTCAGCTCGTGAAGCCCTCTTCGGGTGTGCAGGCTCCACAGCCGAAACATTGTTACCTCATGTTAAGATGTATTGAGAAACATTTGTATTCAAAGGTACAGAAGCACTGCGTGCCCATAAATATTTTTTCTTAGGAAACAAAGTTGATCTTATCTTAAAACGTGGTGAGAACATTCAAACTCCATGCATGTAGCACCCCGGACATGGGACTAAACCCAGGGCTCCAGCTCTGTGAGTCAGCAATAATAACCACTATGCCACAGTGCAACCAAAACACATTAGTTTTCAAGTGATTCACTTAAATTTGTTTAAACTCAGTTTAATAG